GATTTCCCTTTTATCACTATGGCAAGTAAATAATCCAGTAGCATCTTAAAGACTAACAAAATGTGTGGGAGGTTAAGTACTTTTGTGAGTCACTGCTCCCTCACGAAACCTTATACCCTGCCACAAATTTTGTTAGTCTTTAAGGTGTTACTGGACTCTTACTATTTTCTGCTGCTACAGGCAGACTAACGCAGCTACCCATCTTGATCTGTCTCTGTGGCAGGTAGTAATTGATGGACCTCTCCTCCATCAATCTAACTCCCTTTTAAAGCCATCTAGACTTGTGCCCCGCTACATCCACTAGAAGAAAATTTCCACAATTTAATTACTTGTTGAATAAATATTTCCTTTTGTCTGTCCTGAATCTACTGCTCATCAACTTCTCCGGGCACCTCTACATTCTAGTATTATAAGACAGGGAGAAAAAGTTTTCTCTGCCCTCTTCTTCCACCTCATGAGCAATTCTATAGAACTCAATCATATTTTTTGTCAATTGGACATCCCCAATCCTAGATGGCCCAGATGAGCCCAGTCTCATCTCAGAAGCTAAGTGGGGTTGACCCTGTTTAGTATTTGGAGCCCACCAAGGAAATCCAGGGTCAGTACGCAGCGACAGGCAGTGACAAACCACCTCTGAATGTCTCTTGCCTTGAAACCCTTGAGTGGTCGCCATAAGTTGGCTAGGACTTGAATACACTTTCCACCTCCACCACCAGCCTTAAGTGTCTCCACATAAGAAAGGTGTTCCATACTCTTAATTTCTTGGCAGACATTGTGGTCACCATGGATTTTGTTGTTTGAGGAAGGAGGAGGAGGCTTATGTAGGAGGACTGTCCTCCAGTTTTCCTAGACACCTGCCCCCCCCACTCCAGCTTGTGCCCTCTGTATGCCATTGCAAGTACCTTCACCAAAGTCATCATCTCCTTACTGCCAAATCCAAAGACCTCTTCTTCCTTGACCTCTGTCTGCGCTACAAGTGATTACTCTGATCTGCTCCATTCTCTTCTCTGTCCAGGTTTCTGTGAATCTGGCTTCAGCGAATTCTCTTCCTGTCCTAACCCAGATCACCCATTAATTGTTTTACAAGGCAAAGCTCTTGCTGTGCTTGATTGCAAGGAATCTGTCTTTTGGCCCCCTATTCTGTTCTCTTTAAAAACTGTCAAAACTCACAGCTTTCAGAACTTATTCTGATGACACCCAGCTTTACCTCTCTACCCTTGAACTTTCAATTCCCATCTCCAGTTGCCCTTTTGACATTTCTGTCTCTTCACTGCTTCAAACTCAGTATGTCCAAGACATGTTTCCTCCCTTAGCCTTCTTCTGCTCTTCATATCCATTGACAATGTCTATACCCTGTGGAACAGCCCTGAAGCCTTGGCTTTATCTGTCATTGTTCTTTTGTTAGTTGCCTGTATTCCGCCTGCCACTGAGTTCTGTTGCTGTCTCCTTTCCCAGGAATCTCCTGCTCTCTGGACGTCTGCTGTAGCACTTTAGCCCTCTCTATACCAAAATAATTCATCTGTCCTATCATTACTGGTCATGCAGTTCTTCTCCATAAACTTCTTCAGATATGTGAGGAGCAAACTCAAGATAAAAGAGGCAATGGGCCACTGTTGGGTGAACATGGAGAAACTTTGACAGAGGACAGAGAGAAAGCAGAAAGGCTCAGTGCCTATTTTGCCTCAGGTTTTTCCCTGAAGAGGAGAACAGGCTCATCAACAGATGGTAGTAGGCAAGACACGACGTCCGGGCTGCTGGTTGACATGGACAGAGAGGTAGTTGAGAAGCACCTGGCTGCATTGAATGAGTACAAATCCCCCAGGAAGAGATGGTATGCTCCCAAGAGTGCCCAAAGAATTTTCTAGAGAGTTTGCAGAGCCTTTGTCCATCACCTTCCAGACCTCTTGGAGGACGGGAGACGTGTACCACAAGACTGGAGGAGGGCCGATGTTATCCCAATTTTCAAAAAAAAGGGGAGGAGGGAAGACCCAGGAAACTACAGGCCAGGCAGTCTGACCTCTGCCTCAGAAAAGATACTTGAGCAGGTTTTAAAAGGGATCAGTCTGTGAGCATCTAAAGGACAACTTGGTGATCCGGGGAAGTCAACACAAATTTGTCCCCAACAGGTCCTGCCAGACCAACCTCATTTCCTTCTTTGATCGAGTGACAAGCCTACTGGATCCAGGGAATGCTGTTGATGTTGTTGACCTGGATTTCAGCAAAGCTTTTGAAAGGGTTCCCTATGATGTTCCAATGGGTAAATTAGAGGACTGTGGACTAGACTCTAGGATAGTTGGATGGACTGGTTGGAGAGTTGCACTCAAAGAGTAGTTGTCAATGACATTTCATCGGAATGGAGGGAGGTGTCCGGTGGGGTGCCACAGGGCTTGGTTTTAGGCCCTGTACTTATAAATATTTTTATAAATGATCTGAATGAGGGTATGGAGTAGCTACTCATTAAATTTGCAGATGACACCAAATTGGGAGAAGCGGCGAACATACCAGAAGATAGAGATAGAACTTGGTGAGATCTGAACACACAGGAAAAGTGGGTAGATGTGAACAAGATGGAATTTAACAAGGATAAGTGCCAAATTCTACATATGAGTAACAAAAATGAGGGACATGCCTACTGGATTTTTATTTATTTATTTTTTGCATTTTTACCCAGCCCTCCCCGCGAACGGGCTCAGAGTGGACAGGATGCGGGATACACTTCTGGGTAGCAATGTGTGTGAACAAGATTTTGGGGTACGGGTGGCCCATAAGTTAAATATGAGCAGCCAGTGTGATGCAGCGACAAAAAAGGCTAATGCAATCTTGGGGTGTATGAATAGAGGCATAACATCCAAATTGCAAGATGTCATAGAGTTAGGGTTAGGGTACACTGCATTGGTCAGGCTGCACCTTGAGTATTATGTGCAGTTCTGGAGGCCTCCCTTCAAAAAGGATGTGGACAGAATGGAGCAGGTGCAGAGGAGAGTGACGAGGATGATAGGGGGCCTGGAGACCAAGCCCTGTGAGGAAAGGCTGAGGGATTTGGGAATATTTAATCTGGAGAAGAGGAGGTTGTGGGGGGGGGAAGGATTGCTCTTTTGAAGTATTTAAAGGGCTGTCACTTCCAGGAGGGCAGGGAGCTGTTCCTGTTGGCAGCAGAGGAGAGGACTCGCAATAAGGGTGGGAAGGTACCGGCTGGATCTTAAGGGAAAACTCTTTTACAGGAAGAGTTGTGGAACAGTGGAATCGGCTGCCTCGGGAGGTGGCGGGGCCCCCCTCCCTGGCAGTCTTGAAGCAGTGGCTGGACAAACACTTGTCAGGGAGGCTCTAGGCTGATCCTGCATGGAACAGGGGGTTGGACTAGATGCCCTGCATGGCCTTTTCCAACTCTGTGATTCTGTGATTCTATGAACTTACTTACAAGCTCTAGCTTCCTGTCCACTCTTAGATCCAGCACAGATTCCTTCAAAGCTCTCTGTGCCCTTCTCATAAGATGAGAAATGCTTGCCAGACATCTTCCTGCAGTCCCATTACCCTCACCCTTCTGAAGGTCTCCTCATCCCTCAGAGGACTCCTCCCTTTCCCTCGTGCTGCCCTTTATGCGTCGAACTGCCTCCTCGGAGACCTGCTGGATGCCACCTCTCACTTCAGATCCTTTCTCAGAACCCATTCTTTCCAGTGAAAGGCTTTCCCACTTCTCTGCTGAAGCTAAACCTATGCATGTGCAACTGGACTGAGTACATATTTGTTTCCTATTTATCCCCGCCTCGCAGTGTTGTCTGTCTCCTTTTTGTCAAATTTTAGCTTATATGCTGCTTTGAGAAGGAATTGTCCTCTTGCGCTTTGTAAAACATCATGCATACTGATTTTGCCACATTAATGAACAAATGATAACGTGAACTACTAGCAAAATCCAGGACTTAAAAGAACCTGTGGGGCATGATTCTGTACTCCCAGGCCACAGTGCTCCCATTGCTTCTTCTGACATGAGTGAGCTGGTGAAGGAGAAGATCCGAATGATGGGTGATGTGCAGATTAGTTCCAGGTGTCATCCTGTTTTTCATCCCTAATCAGCAGACTGGGCTAGCACCATTTTCCTCTTCTATGTTATGGAAGTTCTGTAGGAGTAGAAGGGAGGCTGGCCCATGTAAACATGGGTTGAAGAACTGGCAGAATCCACACCTAGAGGTCCATAACCGTGCTGAGCCTGTGGGCAATTTTGAGAATGGAACGGGTGCCACCACAAAATGGCTGCCATGAGATAATGGGGCAAATCACAAAATGTTAGGAAGCTGCAAGCCAAGCATCCTCCTCCTATAAAGTCAGTTGTTTTGGGGTTCTCATGCTCCAGTGAGGTGGAGGAAGGCCAGAATTTGCTTTTTGCTTTGGAGAATAAGCAGACGAGCAACAGAAGACAGTGCCCACGGGCTCCTCCGCATTGGAGAGCACTGTCCTCTTCCATTTCTGCTTCCAGGTACTTACTCACGAGCCCTAGGTCTCCGCAGGCATTGCATAATGCAGCTAGCTCAGTTCTCGCCTTCTCCCCATAGGCATGTTCACCCTCAGGACAACAGATACAGTGTTGGTTGGAAAGAATGTGAACAGTACTCATTTCTCCCCGGATTTTTATAGCTTTCTGGCCTTTCTGTTTTGGATGTTCTAGAAAAATATACCAGTAGCAGTTGGGTTGGAAGACATTAAAGCAAAAAATGCTATTGAGTGTCTGCTGACTAGTGTCTTTCATGAAAATGACCCAAAGGTCATATTTTCTGAAGTAGTTTACCATGAAATAAAAGGTCAGGCAGTTTTGTAAGTTTTGCAGCATGAATGGCAAACACAAATGGGTGCTGGCTTCCTGAGTAGGCACTCCTCATCCTGCCCGTGGGAGGGATCTCCGGGGAGAGCTAGCACTGGGGAGCTCTACTGTGAAGAGACATCACAGGCCTTCAGGGCGCCTCTGGGACACTGTAAAAACCTCATGTGTCAATGTTGCCTTTTTGTAGGACATCCATCATGTTTGAAATTTTGTCTGGAGTTGACGACAAATGTGAAGGCCTTAAGATGGCAGTGTATTGAATGCAAGACATGCAGTGCCTGTAGAATCCAAGGCAAAAATGCGGTAAATTTTAATCCCTTAATACAGTATAATGTTTGGTGTAATTTTCAAATTTTTTTTAGGGCTAATTGAACCAAATTTATAGGTTTAGCTAACAGGGACTCTTTAAAATGGATGAAATAATGGTTTTATATATATTATTATTCATGCTTCTGCTTAACCATGAAATGAAAAACATATGCAAGATCACGTTACTTTCCCCCCTTTTTATTTATTCAGGACAACATGCTTTTCTGTGATTCTTGCGACAGAGGATTCCACATGGAATGCTGTGACCCACCTCTTTCCCGAATGCCAAAAGGTGATCAGTGCAAGTCCGTCAAATGCATATAGCTCTGTATGGTAATCTTTCTCAATCAATATCTATCTTGCCTTCCCATGCAGCATCATGAACTGATTTAGTGAATTATTTATGTGGTAGCTGTTAGCTTCAGTCAGTTGGCGCATTTGCTGTGAACATTTGAAGCCGTTCCGCTTCTGTGTCTGTTAGCCATCGTTTCTGTTCCAGGCTGAGTGTTGAGGGCTGTACCAGCAGCCGCTTGTAGATGAGAAGCTGAAGCTGAGCCGGCAGGTGTCAGAGATCACGCTGAATTCATAGCAGAGTGTGAACTTCAACCTGCATCTCCTGGCTCGAAGCCTCGTGGTTCTCAAGCCGTGCTTCTTGGCGGGCAGAACTTTGGATTCCTTGTTGCAGAGTTCAGGAGGTGCATAAGCAGAGATCACCTTCTCTCCTTCCTAACTGAGGGGAAATGGTGCTGCCACTGTGTCTTTTTTCCTGCCAAAATAGCTGATGAGTCAGAGACCCATAATTGTTTTGCACACTTATTAAAATGTGGGTTTTCAGTGTTGGTAGTCTTGGTTACAAGAGTCTCCAGCCGTGAGGTGTCGAACTCATTTGTTACGAGGGCCGGATCTGACATAAATGTCACTTTGTTGGTCTGGGCACTGTGTGTCATAAAACGTAATGCCAGGTACCAGAGATATAGACTGCATAAAGGACAGCAGCTGGTAAGCTCCGAGTTGGTGTATCCCCACTGCAAGACTCCATGGGCTGGGAGGGGGGTGCAAAGGAAAACCCACATGGGCAGACTGGAGAGCCAGCGGTCCAGCACTGGGCAGATGTTCCCACGTTGCTTGACTTCTGCAGACGAGGTTGTTCCGCCATGCTGAAGCCCCAATCAGAGTGGCTCTGCCACTTTGCAGATTAGTTGAAGTCCATTATCTTTTGCATCTTTGGTCATCTCAGAAGTATTGACGTACTTAAGCTGAATGATCAATAATTTATAGGCCAAAGTAGTGGTCAAAGTGAATTGCCTTGCTTATTGACAGTGTGTGTGTGTGTGTGTGAGAGAGAGAGAGCAAAACAGATAGTTTGCAGTATGGCCGTGTATAGGCTGACAGTCCTGACTTCCTTCTGCATGCTCAGATTCAGAGCATGAAGTCAACGAATGTTCGCACTAACCCATTTGCTGCTTTTTCGTGGAAAATGTTGTCCGCTGCTTGGGTGAAGATAGATCATAAAGCAGGAAAAAAGTTGGAATGTAAATGATGCTGCTTGTGGCTCACCCTGTGAACCTTGTCGCCTCCAGATGGAATACTGCATTCCAGCTCTTAATTGCAGGGAACAACTGGTTCTGTGTATAGAATTGTAATTGAGGTGAATCGCTTAGGGAGACTTTGTCTGAAAAGTGGGGTTAAAAATGCCCTTCTCTGGGCTATTTGCTCTTTGTGGTTGGCTGTTCTCCTGTACTTTTCTATCTCAATGGCCCTCGTTGGCTTGCTTCCCCCCATTCGCTCTTCTCTTCCTGGGTAGTTTCAGAGGGTTGTCGTGTGTTAGTCTGCAGCAGAACAACTAGATTCCTGTCCAGTGGCACCTGAGAGACCAACAGGACTGGGGGGGGGGGGGGCTTTTGAGAGTCCAAGTGCCCTTCGTCACTCTCAAAAGCTCATCCCCCCAAAAAAATCATGTTGGTCTCTAAGGTGCCACTGGGTTGGAATCTCACTGTTCTTTCTGTGTGAAGAAGAAGAAGAAATTGGATTTATACCCCGCCCTCCACTCGGAGTTTCAGAGTGGCTTACAATTTCCTTTCCCTTCTCCCCACAACAGACCCCCTGTGAGGTAGGTGGGGCTGAGAACTGCTCTTGAGAGAACTGCTCTGAGAGAACTGTGACTGATGCAAGGTCGCCCAGCTGGCTGCATGTGAAGGAGTGGGGAATCAAACCCGGTTCCCCAGATTAGAGTCTGCCGCTCTTAACCACTGCACCAAACTGGCTCTCCTGGTGGAAAGTCTCCTGTGATACGACACACTGTACTGGTTCACCTGGAGCCAGGTATCTTCATCTATACCTTAACTGAAAGGTAGATAGTACGCCCAAGATATACTAGTAAAGGTAAAGGTTTCCCTTGCTCGAAAGCCAGTCAAATCTGACTCTAGGGATGTGGTGCTCATCTCTGTTTCCAAGCCGAAGAGCCAACACTGTCCAAAGACATTTCAGTGGTCATGTGGCCGGCATGACTAAACACCAAGGCGCACGGAACGCTGTGACCTTCCCACCAAAGTGGTCCCTATTTATCTACTTTCAATTTCTTGCTTTCGAACTGCTAGGTTGGCAGGAGCTGGGACCAGAGACGGGAGCTCACTCCATTATGCGGCACTTGGGTCTCGAACTGCTGAACTACCGACCTTCTGGTCTGCAGTTCAGCGTCTTAACCACTTGAGCCACTGCAGCCTGACTCCCAGAGATACTAGGCATTAGTAAAGAAGGTTTTTTCCCTCACAACCTTATTTTCTACCAAGGAAAATGAAGTGGAGGGTAGACAATAAGTTTATTTTATCTTGATGTGAATTGGGAAGGAGATGGTCATAAAGACAGCGCAATTCATGGGTTTTATTTTGAACATCAATGCAGGTATGTGGATTTGCCAGGTCTGCAGACCAAAGAAAAAAGGAATAAAGCTACTTCATGAGAAAGCCACACAGATTAGGCGGCGATACACAAAACCTATCGGACGACCAAAAAACAAACTAAAGCAACGAATGTTGTAAGTATTCTTTTATTTCCTTTTATGGCAGGAGGGAACTTGCAAGGGGCAGAGGGTGGTAGTTAGTTCTTCCGCTTCACCCAATTCAGACGGGGCCCCCCAGCTGCTCCTTAGGGACGAGATGCATCTGCATATCCCGTTGTGGAATTCCAGTGTGTGATTTGGACCTTAGTACATGTGTCTTCCTCAGAAACAGTTTATGTCTGTAACCCTTCCTGGGCTGTGTTACAAGAACTGTAGACGTAGGAGTGAGCTGTGGGACCACTTCATGATGAATGCACGTGACATAGACTGAACTGTGTTGCTGGCGTGCAAGAATGGCCACCCCCTGATGTGTTAGATCAAATGCAGAATAATGTGCAAATAGACATAAGGGAAAAGTAGGATTTAACTTTGTTGATGGAATGCAATCAGATGGGAAGACTATAATAATGCTACTGCTGAATTTAATTGAGCTCCTTTGTAAGAGTTAAAAGGGGCATGGCACTGTCTAATAGATTTTTGTTTGTGGCTTTGAATGATGGTGTGAAATTATATAGCATGACGAACTTCTCCTCTGCAGGCAGATGCTTATTAGCATATGTGGCACCAGCAGTAGGTTTTGGAGATACAGAGCTGATTTTCTAGAATCAAAATAAGTTAGACTTCTGTGAAAAGATTTTAATAAGATTGTGAATGCTAACAGCTAACCATGTTCAAGCATGTGTTGTGGAAGGAAAATGGAGTGGGGACCAGATTTAAGACTACTAGTTGGCTATTTGGCAAACCAGATGGTAGCCTTGGACTGCTTCTTTTCTAATTATACATAAACTGTTGGTATCAATTGGTTTCACCGTTAAGGACATTATTAATTAATTAATTATTAATTTAAAAGTTAGTTGTATGCACGACAGGGAAGGGAAAAGGATTTGGTGCAATTGTGTGGCTTTGTGTTGCTTTTCAGTGTGAGAACCAGTTTGGTATAGTGGTTAGGAGCGCGGACTCTAATCTGGGAGAACTGGGTTTGATTCCCCACTTCTCCACATGTAGCTGCTGGGTGACCTTGGGTCAGCCACAGTTCTTGCAAAGCTGTTCTCTTGAGCAGTTCTCTCAGAGCTCTCTCAGCCTCACCTACCTCACAGGGTATGTGTTGTGGGGAGAGGAAGGGAAGGAAATTGTAAGCCGCTCTGAGACTCCAAATGAAGGGCGGGGTATAAATCCAATCTCCTCCTCCTCCTCCTCTTCTTCATGCATTTTTCTCTTAACTGAAAGCACCCTTAGCAATTTGATATTTCATGAAAATACCATTCTTCAGTATTCCGTCAGGGGTTCTGCATCTTCCATTAATTAGCCTTTAGCTAAATCAGCAGGCACTGTGCGCCTTCCCAGTAAAACTCAGATTGGCTTTACCTTCCATGCTGTACCTTTCCTAGTTCTTGTTTTCCTTTGGCCATAATTTTACGTATGCCTTCTGCAGGACTCCTTATTTGCTAAACTTTCACATTTTAAAAGTTAAATATCATGCTATGTGTTTTGACTTAACGCTCTAAGGAAGTGCCTCATTCTCCTTTTATGAACTTTGTTCTTAGTGGTATTTTGGAGCTTATATGAAAGTATTCTTGTTGAACTTAGGCATAGGCAAGCCTATCAGACTGGTCTCTGAGTGCCTCTTTCTCCTGTTAGAGAGCAGTGCCACTTACCTTCATGGTCCCCCTTTGGAAAATGTCAAACGTTTTGTTGTTCTCCTAGCATAATGCTTTGCATCTCCTGAGAGCACACTGTGGTTATCAGCATTCAAGAGAGATGTTTACGAACAGGGTGCAATTCAACACAGTAGTCAAGTGCCTAATTGAAAGGGTGGTGTGGGGTGTTTAATTGTATGTTGCTTTGGGACAGTGCAGATTTAACTCTAGCATATTGCTGATGTTAAGAATCAGGAGCACACACTCTCCATCCTTCCCCGCAGACTGTCATTTAAAACCAGCGTCTAAAATCATGGATCAGAATAGGTTTCAAGACTGAGGAAAAGGAAAGACCAGTTAGCCTTGTTTCCAATTAATGCTCATGCTGGTGAGCCACTTAACCATGCGTGTGTTGGGGGGGGGGTTTCCTACATGAAGGGAATCCAGAGTTAGATATTTGCCCAAGCAAAGTTAGGGCTTCCTATTATGAGAGGCTTCTAAATCCAAAAGATAAAAAATCAAATGACTAAATTACCATTTTGGGTCATGCTTGTGGGCCCTCTGAAATTAGACATGGTCTGGGGGCCCCAGCATGTCTTAACCCAGCCTGTGAGTTCTGTGAGTGGCCCCTGATAGATTAACCGTGCTTAGCAGGGAGCCAGTATTACATGTGCACCCATCACTGTTGCTGTGTATACAGCAGCTTTGCAGTTTTTGCCGTTCTTCTTCTTCTGTTGTTGTTGTTGTTGTCACAATTCTGTGATTTAATCATTTCATGGCTGGTGAGCTAAAGCCGGTAGGAGGTGCCTTCCCCAAAGGCATTCAGCAAGTTGATGGCTCAGTACGATTTGAAGACAAGCCGTAGGTCAATCCTTTGTCCCTGAACCACTCTGATTATTTATATAGTCTGCCTTTATTGTCACCCCAAAGAACAAACCCTCATTTAGAAAGCTGAATAATGTATCTGTTTTAAAATAACACAGTCTTCTTTCGGTGATATTTGGTCGCAAATTCTTTCAGTTTAAAGCTAAAGAGCATGAATAGTTTGAATGCAGTCCTGTTCCTTTTAAGTTCCTTTTCCTTGGTTCTTCAGTGCTGACTTCTTATTTTCCAAATTTCTTTGCTTAGGTCTGTAACCAGTGATGAAGGATCCATGAATGCATTCACAGGAAGGGGGTCACCTGGTAGGGGTCAAAAGACTAAAGTCTGTACCACACCTTCATCTGGTCATGCTGCATCTGTGAAGGATTCAAGCAGCAGATTGGCTGTTACAGACCCCACCCAGCCTGGTGCCGCCACCACCACCACCACCACCACCACCAAAATCACCACCACCACCACCACCTCCACCTACATACCTGCCTCTACACTTAACGTTAACAAGAAAACCAAAGGGCTCATTGACGGCCTTACTAAGTTTTTTACACCATCACCCGATGGTCGCAGATCACGAGGTGAAATAATAGACTTTTCAAAGCATTATCGTCCAAGGAAAATGGCCTCTGAGAAACAGTCATGTCCTTCTCATGTGTTGGCTCCAGGTACCACACAAAAGCTCAAACCTTCTTCACTCCCACCCCCAACCCCCACCTCTGGTCAGAGCCCCGGTTCACAAAAATCCGGCACTTCCATCTCTTCTAACTCTCCCCAGAGCTCCTCCAGTCAGTCAAGTGCAGCCTCCTTTAGCAGTCTCCCCAATAACAGTCAGCTGAAGGGACTTTTCGATGGACTTTCTCATATTTATACCACTCAGGGACAGTCTCGAAAAAAGGGACGCCCAAGTTATGCACCACCCAAGCGTTTGCTTCGCAAAGCTGCGTTCTCTTCCGCATCCAAGTCTAATGCTGCTTTCTATGGAAGGAGAGATGTTAGAAGTAGGTTTCTTTCTCATTCCTCCACCTCTGGATGGGGTATGTCCAGAGGACGTGCTTTTAAAGCCATTGCTCACTTCAAGCAAACAACTTTCCTTAAAAAGCGCAGGATTCTAGGCAGATTAAAGTATAAAGTGACCCCTCAGGTGGGGACCCCCTCACCAGGGAAGGGGAGCTTGGCAGACGGAAGGATTAAACCTGATCAGGATGATGGTAAGCAACGGGGCAAAGCGCCAACCGAACCCTCGTCCCGTCCAGATCCAAATTCTTATTTTGTCACATAGGTCTCAGCTATTTTTCTCGTTCTTACTTCACTCTCATACAAAAACAGTGAACTCTGACCTTGTAACTAATGCTGACTAAATCTCCAGAGTTTTCCCAACTAATACTGTACCCCACCTTGTTGTTTGTCGGTTTTTGCATATGTAGTGGCACTAGCTCCCCCCCTCCCCCCCATGTCTTCATGATGTTGCTTACGCCTCTTCGTAGTCCCCCGTCGGTAGCCCCCTTCCCTTCGTGCTGTCCCTCGCCCTTTCTCTGGCCGTCGGGCTGTCGGCATTTATCAGGATAAGCATTTCAGTTCTTCATTTCCCTCTCCTCCATTGCTTTTCCATGACCAATTCCATCCTGCTACACAATGCTGGATCTGTACTGCTGTGAAATTTTACTCTTCCCGATTTTTAAAATAAACCTGTCCTTTTCTTTAAGAGAAATTGTTTGTACTCTTAGCTGTAGTCCTGTTCTATCTTGTTTTAAATAGTGTTGTCTAAGCTTAATTTAGTACCAGAGGTTGCCAGAGGTTGTGTTTTACTTTTTTTTTAAGTAGAAGTTGCCCTGGAAATTTGCCAGAAAATGTGAAATCTGTGCTGCTTTCTCCATTGTTTGACATAGGTTTAATTTGCTTTCCTCCGCTTATAGATGGGGCATGTCTAGAAGACATGCATTTAAAATATTCATACGTTTATAGGCTAGGAATAGAGAGTGAGAGCCTGAGTAAGGACAGGAAAGCAAATACAGATGATGACCCTGGTAGTGTGTATTTTAAGCAGATGTGCAAGTGTGGTAATTGTAACATCCTAGCAATGTTAAAAGCTTGCCATCTCAACTGGGAAGCAGGGGGTGGACACAAGGTAGAGTCGTAAGTGCTAATATGATAGGACTAGAAGGGCATATGGCCTTGTCACTATCATGTTGGTGAATAATACCTCTGCTGGTTTTAAACAACAGGTACTGAAATCAAAATAAGCATCAAACAAGAACACACAGATTTGTTTCTGGTGGGAACCAAGGACATTGTTACAGAAGAAGATCTGGACATGTTTAAGCAGGCTCGAGAACTTGCCATGGAGGTAAGGCTGACACCAAGCGGCGGATGCCTTGGGAAGAATAGTATTCGTAGTAATGTCAGCTTCCGGGTGAAGAAGGGAGGAAGATGTTTACATGCGTCATTCATTCATTAAAGAGAGGCTTTATGTCCTAGTACTTCTCTAGCTTGAAACCCATTTATCTGAGTGGAGTGGACCAGAGGTGATGACTGACAATAAGCTTTGGGTTATTCTAGATGGGACGTAGAGCATAAGTGAGAAAGGAAGTTCATCTGTGTTTTTCTTGAAGTTCAGAGATGTCCACAACCAAGACCTGTGTTTTTATGTCTGTTTCCACTCAGAGGAGGTCATTTTTGGCTGATGGGTGACTCCTCCCAGTGGGAGAGGAGGAGGGGACAGATCACAGCTTCCCGTGACCCTGTCTGGAGGCACTCTCCTTGGGCAGTTGTTTTCCTGCCTCAGCAAGGAGGGCAGGGATATTAAATACCAGATAGCAAATCTCTGTAGGATAGTTAAATGTGAGTGTGAGTTTCTTTGTTGTTTTAAAACTTAGAAGTGTTTTGACCGAAGCCGATCAAATGTTCATTTAAACTGTGTAGCTTTGAGCTGGACTGTCCCCTCTTGACTCTCCTTTGACCTTGACCTTGCATACGAGTCAGACTTTTGCATTTCCTCTTTGTTTGAAGAGTACTAGATGCAAACTGGGTAGTTCTACTTTTTTTGTCTTGTCTTCTGCTGTGTTTTGTATATCCTGGTAAAGGTTCCCTTGCTCGAAAGCCAGTCGAGTCCGACTCTGGGGTTGCGGTCCTCTTCTCCGTTTCAAAGCCGAAGAGCCAGCGCTGTCCAAAGACTTTCCATGGTCATGTGGCCCCGGCATGACTAAACACCAAGGCGCACGGAACTCTGTTACCTTCCCACTGAAGTGGTACCTATTTATCTACTTGCAATTTCTTGCTTTCGAACGGCTAGGTTGGCAGGAGCTGGAACTAGAGACGGGAACTCACTCCGTCATGCGGCACACTCGGGGGTCTCGAACTGCTGAATTACTGACCTTCCACAGCCTGCAGTTCAGCGTCTTAACCCCTTGAGCCACCACAGCTGTTAGTCCTTGATATATATTTTTTTAATGTACAGTTCTGCACTAATTTACCCCTCCTCCAAGTAGCTAAAGATTCCAGCAGTGTTCTACCAGTACTTTTCCTTTTAACTAAATTCCTAGTGTTCTTATCTCTATTACATGTTTACTTTAAAATAACCTTTTATCATTCTTAGAATCATCTCCACACTCTGGTCAACATGACGTTTCCTATTCTCTTCTTTGTTTATCTCAAGTTAATTGGTGGGATCCAAACTAAATTGGCCACTTTCACTGAGTCCTCCTCCTTTCGGCTCTCATGTTGTTCCTCGGGGTCCCCTGTCCTCTAGGAGCAATATTTTGTGGACAACAATGGGCAGCAGTTGCAGGGGTAGGCCAGGGTTGTTCCGCTCAGCTAATGGAAAATTTCGTGCGGCTCGAGCCTCATATTTCCTAATGAGCTGTGGGTCAAAACTGCTGTCATCGGCTTGAGAAAGAAGAGTTGGATGAAGTAAGAGCTGACTTCATACACAGAGAGAATAGTTGTTGGGGCCCTGTGAGATGGCTCTGCATCCGGGGCTTTTGGCTGAGCTGTTCTGTAGACATTACTGAAAATTTCACATTTCCGATGGTGTGAAACTAGCAGACAGTTTTTGCTGCTGTTCATTCTTCTCCGAGCACATAACTCTCACCATAACAATTAGTGACACACAGGAAGACGAATAGTGTTCAAAGAAGGTGATCTCATTGTGCACTCATAAAAATCTTTCTTTTTTCCTCTCCTTCTATAAATAATAGAAGATCGGATGTAAAAATGGTGGTGAAACAAATGGCCGGTACCCTTCGGTGATAGAATTTGGAAAATATGAAATTCAAACCTGGTACTCCTCACCTTACCCACAGGAATACTCAAAGTAAGAGGGCAATTCCTGTATTTTATATGCAGGATAGAAAGAAAGTACAAGCCATTTCATGACAGATTAAATTTCATTAAAACACCCGCAGCTCACAAAGTGATCACCTTTCATATTACTTGCAAAGCCTTTCAAGCTAATACCTTGAAAGGTTAAATTTACAACACCCTCTTGCTGTTTTTATTCTCAATCATATATTGTTATTGAAACAACATGATGTGAATTTGGCCATGCTAAAATAAGGGGAGTTTGGACTGGACTCTTGCTCTTTGTTCAGCTGCAGTTTGAAATGACTGATACGAATGGTTTGTGTGTCACTGAGAAATTAGGGGTCTAGTTTCAACGGACATTAAACCTGCATGATTATGAACACAATGAGCTGGGGCAGTCCCTTGAAAATGTGTGTCATGAAATGGAAACCTGTTACTGCTAACAGGGATGCATGCAAGTATTGTAGCAGGCCTTCCTTGCCCAAATATCTTTAATTATTGAGCCATGAAAACTCAGATTTGATACCCACCCCAATAATTAATTGCACTCTGATTATGAACACTTTGAACCTTGTTGAAATGTTATGTAGTCAATTTGTTATGATTTATAAGGAGCTTCTTTTTTTGGCACTGAAGTGAAGCGTTGGACTTGAACACCAATGTAATATTCAGAAGAAACGGTGCATATTAACACTGTGTGAATCAGAGCAGAGCAGCGGCTGGAAATGTTGGGCACAGAAGTGGGGAAACTATGCTTCAAGTACATGCTCAGCAGGTGAAAATTTCAGGATGGTCTTGAACAAAGATTTGTCAGTCCCCATCCTGAGCCAGGAGCCGTAGCCCGAGAATACGGGTTGGAAGGGGGGAGGGAGGTTCAGTTCTCTGGCTCAAATAGTGTTTGCCTTCATGTTTGGTGGTGAATCTTATGAGAAGGCAATTGCAAAACTCGTATTTCTGAGCACCGGGAATCAGAGTTCAAAAAATAACAGGTTTAAAATGGCGGGACTCTGTTTAGGTTTGCTCTGCAAGTTACTTAAACCTGTGAGGAATAAAACGACTCTGCCTGACGAAGATAGCAGCTTGTCACATAGATATCATGACCAGATGCTGAAGTTAGTTAAGAGTCCTGGAATTGTGCATACCAATATTCTGAATAAGAATAAGCTACCAGCATTCTGAATAAGATAAGCTATATTTGTTGTGTTAGCAGGAAAGTGCACTCTTGTCTCCTTCATTAATCGCTCTTTCAGAGAAATGGAAGAAAAGTTCAGGGTTACTTAAACCAAAGTAACTGCTCAGGAAATAATGGGATGATTTGCATTTTATTTCTGTCCTGGATCAACACTGTCTGGAAGCTGTTTTCATAAATGCATTTTGAGAGATGTTGCACACAGTTTTGTTGAGCCACATGCAGTCCTGGTCCTTGTTTGCTCAAAACAGTTTTTGTCTCCAGTTAAGGCAGAGTAGCCATGTTAGCTGGTGGAGGGTTTCTGAGCAGTCGGCCTTCACCCGAAAGGGCTGTTAGGACCCTGACCTTTTAATGAACTTGTCACCAAGAAGGTAGATCGGGATGGGCCGCTGTAGCAGTAGAAAAGAGCAAGTGTCCAGTAGCACCTTAAAGAATAACAAAAGAAAGACTAACGAAATGCATGGCAGGTTAAGAGCTTTCGTGAGACACTGCTCACTTCTTCAGATACTGCCACATATTTTGTTATATTTCTGGCCACTGTGTGACCCAGAGTGTTGGACTGGATGGGCCACTGGCCTGATCCAACATTGGCTTCTCTTATGTTCTTATGTTCTTACCTTAGTCTTTAAGGTGCTACTGGACTCTTGCTCTTTGTTACCGAGATCTATGTTCTCTGTTTTTAAACAAAAGCATGCTTTAACTTTTTTTTTGTAATGCATTTGGGGAACAGTTGGCTTTTTTTAACTATAATACATGAAGCATTAGAGATACTGACTAGCTTGCTTTTTAAACTTCAACAGACTGTCAAAGCTTTTCCTGTGTGAATTCTGTCTTAAATACATGAAAAGTAAAAATATTTTGCTGAGACACTCAAAGAAGTGTGACTGGTTCCATCCTCCAGCGAACGAAATCTACAGAAGGAAGGACCTTTCAGTGTTTGAGGTAAGCAAAGTTTTATTTGTCTCAGGAAGCACTGTGGGCTGATTGGATGGCGGGACCCCAGGTTTGCCCCTGTGGTGCGATGTCTTGCGTGACTGAATGCTCTGCAGCAATGAGTAGCTCAAGTCTTGTGGGTGTGGGTGTGATTCTGAAACACATCCCAGGGTTGCTCGCGATAGAAACACACGGCAGAGCCCTCAGAGAGGGGCTTTCGTCCTCGCGCCATGGCAGACTCGTTCTAGGAGGAAGCACTTCAGCAGTGTTCTTGGGGCATTTCGGCTGGGAAGGAAATTGTAAGGCAAATATACTATAATATTACCATTACATTATTTCTTTTATTATTGTGAGTTTTCACTGTCAGATATCTGACTGGTGGATGGTGTTCTGCCGTTCGAGATCTAACCAGGCTCTTGGGAATTGCGGAGGTATCTTTGCAGGATTCTTGCAGTTCTGAGCAACGCTGTCTTCTGGAGCTGAGCGGGTGTGATTTGCTGAAGGCCCAGAATGTCCAGGCGTTCCTGGAGACTTCTAGGCACTGCTCCAGGGGCTCCAGTGACAACTGGCCCAATGGTCACCTTCTTTCCCCAGAGGGGCTGTTGTTGTTGTTGTTGTTGTTATTTTTACCAAGTGCCAAGAGATTACCCTGCTTGACCCAGAACAGCTTTTGTCCATGGGTGTGCTCCCAAATCTGTAATAAATCACTAGAATGGTCTGGCTCAGAAGGCGGGGGTTGAAAGAAAAATCTACGCTCAATTGCAGTTGCTTGTGCACTTATGTAGCTTTTTGTGTTTGTATGTTTTGTAAACATTGTATGTTTTTAAAGCTCAAACATACTTTGTATCTTCATAATAAGCTAGCAGATCAATCATGGGGCAGGCGACAGGGGCTTCTTCCAGCTGCTTCTTCAAGTTGCTCGACCGTTAAAGTTAATTGGAAAATGTGATATGGGAAGTGGCCCTCAGTGAGATCATGCAGTAGTCTTTCGAAGAGTCTTTAGTGTTTATCATTCATTGAATTCTTAACAAGACACTGAAGAGCCTCTACATCTTATTTTCCTTTCATTTTTCCAATGAACCTAGAGAGAGGCATATTTTTGTACACGTCTCCTCCTGTGCAGATCTTTGATAAGTCAAAGAGGAGGCATTTCATTATGATAAGCGTTTCCCAGAGAACAATACAACCCCCTGCTTTGGATCCCCCCCCCCCCACTCCTCTTCAGTCTGCCGAAGAAATTAATCTTCAGCCTCTTCCTCTGGAAAACAGTCATATAAGCTGTCAGCCCCCCCCCACCCTCCAGAATTTCTCTTATGGCCAAATGTGGTATTGAAAGACTTGAAATATATATAATCCATGTGAATTTGACAGGCACTTGATTAAAAAGAAGTTCAGTTAAATCTTTAAATCAGCAAATGTTTAAATCAAGTTCTGCTTTCTCATCTCCTCAAGTAAAATAGATCCCAGCTGATATCAGGAACTGTTTAGAACCCATCCAGCATTCTGTGCTTTCTCCATGGTGGCTCCTGCCTTGTGGAATGATTTGCCCAAGGAGATCAGGGGAGCTCCCCCTCTCTCCTGGCCTTCTGCAAACTAAGCAAAATCAAACGGCTCAGGAGGGCTTTTCTGCGCAGGTAATAGAGTAGCTCTGTACAAAATGGGTGTTGTAAGTCGCATCCTATGGATGTGATCTCTGTACCGCTTGGTGTGTGTCGTGTGAGTACTTCTGCGGCGCTTCAGTTCTTTCTGGGGCCTCCCAGGCTTCTTGTGATTCTGTGTCACAATAGGTCAGCTGTATGTCAGTTGGACTCAGTCCACCTTGAATCCCTGTGAGGAAGGTGGACTATAAATGATATAAATAAACTAATAGGTTCAGTAGATAAGGCAAGAGCTGTCTAGGCGGCAAGCCAATTTATGCACGCCCGTGGAGACTCGTGGATCCAATTGGATTCCAGAATGCTCTGCGGGATCCGATGCCTTCCAGTGCCTCGTTAGATGAGCTGGTAGAGGACTGGAACTCCCGTCTCTGTAAAGCCATTGATAAGGTTGTTCCTTAACATCCTTTGAAATCCCGTGGCAGATCGTCCCCCTGGTTAATTTCTGAACTAAAGAGGATGAAACGAAACTCAGATGACTTGAGTGAGTTTGGCAATGGGATCATGACGAAGCTGTCAAGAGCACCCTTTAGGACATTGATGAAAGCCTATGAGGTGGTGTGAAAGGCTGCGAAGAAAGAGTTCTTCTCTGCCTCTGTCATGTCTAGAGATGTGAAGGCCCGGAAATAAACCGGAAAAATTAGGTAAAAAAACAGTTTTTTCCAGTTTTTTTCCTGAAGGCTTTTTGTTTTTTTCCGAAAAATTGGAAAAATTGAAAAAAGAAAAGAAAAAAAATGGATTATGGAACGTTTTATTTTAACATGATGAATAAAATATTTTAAGACAAGGTGTTCAAATATTTTCCAAATCATTTCTAAAATATATATATATGGTATCAGATTGATCTAATTTCTGTGCACTGAGGACAAGCAAGTCCTACGTTACAAACTGAACTCTCCAATGCAAGAACAAGATGCATTTCTTCCTTTAGGAGGTGCGATTGTCAGAAGAAAATAACAAAGTTTCAGTTTTGTTTTTGCATGGGGGTGGGTATTCTGTTTGTAATAATTGTTTGGATACACTATATTTTTAATATGCTAGTTGTGATAATTTCATGCCAAGTAAAAATGTCCATAGTCATATTTTATGTTCCTAAAGTAACAGAATGACTTTCAATCTAGAAAAGACAAAAAAAATGCTAATGTAGCATTTTTTCAATTTTTCCGGAAATTTCGTTTTTTTTCCGAGCTTCAAAATTTCCGGAAATTTTGAAGCTCTCTGTCCACTAACTCACACCCGGCACAATTACTTAGGGTGATTTGGTCTTTGACATCCTTGACAAAAGGGAATGAAAACAATAGGAATTCGACAATTGGCTGTTAGGCATTTGCAAGCTTTTTTGCCAGGGCCTGCCTGCTAACATTGATGCAGTAAGTGAACTGGAGGCCCCTCGACCATCTTTGGAGTAGCCTGCTCTCCTCTGCTGATCTTGAAGGATCCTGGGTGCTGTCAGACCAGCCACGCGCCCCTTGGCCCATGCCCCTCATGGCTGGTGAAAGCTGGTGGCGAGGGAATACGGGGCCCATTGAGGGAACTTATCAACTAGTCCCTGGAAATAGGGACCTATCCGGAGGGCCTCAAGGAGGCTGTGATTACACTGCTTTTGGAAAAACCAGCTCTGGATTCTTCTGATCCTACCCATTACCGCCTGGTTTCGAACTTATTGTTCCTGGGCAAGGTAATTGAGAAAGCAGTGGCTGAACAGCTCCAGGATTTCGCTGGATCTGTTCCAGTCCAGTTTCCGCCCTGGCCATGGGACAGAAACGGTGTTGGTCCCCTTGGCAGACGATCTCCGTAGACAACTGGATCGAGGTGGGTCGGCGCTGCTATTCTTATGAGATCTTGCAGCAGCGTTTGACACGGTCAGTTATGATCTTCTGACCCACTGCCCCACTGACGTGGGAGTTCGCGGGGTAGCCCTTCAGTGGCTGACCTCATTTCTCCACGGTCGGGGACAACAAAAGGTGGTGCTAGAGGAGGGGGTGTCCTCTGGATACCCCTTGGAGTGCGGGGTCCCTCAGGTCCCTCCTTTCCCCAATGTTGTTTAACATCTATATGTGCCCCCTCACCCGGTTGGCATGGATTTCAGGCTTGGGTGTCACCAATGTGCTGATTTCACCCAGTTGTGTCTGTTTTTGGACGGCCACCCAGATGCCACCCCAAAAAAATCTGGCCATGGGTTTGGAAGCTGTGGTGGGTGGTCAAAAAAGAGCAGGCTGAGACTGAATCCAACAAAGACGAAGGTTCTGTGGCTGGGGGGGGGGGCTTCAGGGCTCGGGTTCAGCTGACTGGCTCTTGACAGGACGCCATTAACACTGGTGCAGTCCGGTGAGCGCCTGGGTGTAATCCTGAATATCTCCCTTAATGTGGTGGCCCAGGTCACACATGCATCTATGCCAGGCCCAGCAGCTGGCCCCTTTCCTGTCGAGCTCTGACATGGCCACAGTAATCCATTCAGCGGTCACCTCCCTGCTAGACTACTATAACTTTCTCTATGCTGGCCTGCCCTTGAGACTGACCTGGAAGCTCCAGGTGATCCAGAATGCGGCAGCCTGTGTCCTAACAAGAACATCGTGGACTGCACATATTCAGCCTGTGCTGTTCCAGCTGCACTGGCTTCCAGTGGAGCACCGAGTCAAGTTCAAGGGTTTGGTTCTGACATTCAAGGCCTTGCGTGGTCTGGGACCGATGTATCTGCGGGACCGCCTCCTCTGTTGCACCCCTGAGAGAGCGGTACACTCTTCCCAGAACAACTTGCTGGTAGTCCCCAGTCCTAGAGATATCGGGCTGTCCTCACGCAGTGTTCCCTCTAAGCTGAGTTAGTGTGAGCTAGCTCACAGTTTTTTAGCCTCCGGCTCACACATTTTTGTCTTAGCTCGGGAAGGAGGGCTCTAGAGCAAACTGATTTATGCAGTAACCAAATCACCTGCTCACAACTTTAATGCCAGTAGCTCACAAAGTAGGATTTTTGCTCAAAGGACTCCACAGCTTAGAGGGAACAGTGGCCCTGGCCCCAACCTGGTGGAACTCTCTGCCAAATAACATCAGGGCCCTGCTGGATCTTATGCAATTCTGCCGGCCCTGTAAGGCAGAGATGTTCTGCCAGGGGTTTGGTTGAGGACAGCAATGGTTGTCTGGAATCCTACCTGGATTCCTATTCCTTATGGAAGTTATCCCCCCCCTCCCTCCCCCCACGGACATGCGACTCGGGAGGGACCTGCAAAAAAAATTGCCACTTGCTTTTAATTATTGTATACTGCTGGAATATGGTTTGTATTTTTTTTTAGAATTTTGTACATCACCTAGAGCCCCACAACTGTGGGGATAGGCGATTAATAAATGGAATGTAATACATAAACAATAAATAAATAAGAGCTGCAGACCAGTCACCTGTCAGGACTGCTGCTGCAAAGGCTCTTGCCACGCTGATCAGGCCATGCAGGATGCCAGGTTGGCGTAGCCTGTTCTCCAGGGCCCTGTCTTCGACGGGTGGCTTCGGGCTTGGCTTTGGTTAGACTTGTAGATGGGCTGGAAGTTTTCTTTTTTTTTTGGTAAACAAATTTTATTTTCTCAGGAATACAACATATAAAACATTTCATTCTATCAATTGTCTACCCCATTCCCAGTTCCTCCCCTCCCTCCAATGGCTGGGCTGGAAGTTTTCTTGTAGAAAAGTTAGGCATAGATATTTTAAACAAACACACAATGAAGAGTAAGTAAGAGATCTGGGGAGTACACAACGAAATAGGTAGTCTGAAGCATGCCTGTAAAAGAACACGCAGGCTTTCCCTTTAGCAAATAAAGGAAAGCAACTCTGTGTGTATGTGTGTGTGTGCATTTTCTCAGTCTTTCTGTCCATATGCAATGATCCACATGAACAACTGCCGCAGCCTTCTCTGGCAAGTATTCATGACCCTGTTTTTAAGTTTTGTTGTTGTTGTTGTCTGGACGACAAGTCCTAATGCAAAAGTCATGGAGTGCTGGGAAACCAGCATGCACCTTTGTAAGATGCCTTTGTGGGCAGGTGGGGGACCACTTACCTTAACTCTGCTCATCAGCGTTACCAAGCCTTTTCAGACTTGCAAAGGGGGGAACAGGCGTGGTCAGGAGAATAGACCGGGTTGCTGATTTTGTGCAAGCTCAAAGACAGGTCTTTCTGATACTGACGCGGCTGCTAGCTCAGTTTGTCTTTAAACGAATTGAGTAAGCATTTTGAAATGGTCTCTTTGTAACATTTGTAATGTTACCATGGTGGATCGCATTATTCCATTTATTAATTTTCTGTACATCATGTATGCTCTTTCTCACTGAGAATCAGGGTGCATGACACAGTATAAGAAATTTAAACTAACCCGGAATGGGACACCCAGGAAACATTTCAGTAGAGGCTCGAATTTCAGAAATGTGAAAATGAGCGAAAACCAATCTGAAATGCAGCATAAGCATTAACATTCAAGGGATGAACTCTCGTGCGCATGCACGCTTATTTGAAAAAGTGTGCATGCACACGAAAGCTCTTGACTTGAATAAAGCTTTGTTGGTCTTAAAGGTGCTGCTGGGCTCTAAATTTGTTCTAGCAGCACAACTAAACTCTTGCTGCAGAGAATGCACTCAAAAGCAGCTTTCTGTTTGGATGTAGCCATTGAGATTAGATCATGGCGGCTGAAAGAACTCTGTTACTCAGGTATGTTCAATTCCTGTCTTTTATTTTAATAGGTGCTTTACTAAAGTGACTGTTGCTCATATAATAAAGCTGTCTGTTTTTCTGTTCTGAGCACTGTGGAGAAAGGGTGGGATAAAATGAAAGAAATATTCACGTTCTCTCTCTTTAACAGCCTGATCATATGTTCATAAAATCGTTTGCAGGAGAGGGGGGAATATGTTTTATAGACACACTCACATACATACATAGAGTAACTTATGCTAAATGTGAAAAAGGTCAAAGGATTTTGAGCAAACTGTAATGGAATTTGTGTTCTGTCCTTCCTATGCTGAAATTCTGATATTGAAAATTCTCTTCTCCTCACTTTATAGGTTGATGGGAACATGAGCAAAATTTATTGCCAAAATCTTTGCCTGTTAGCAAAGCTCTTTCTGGACCACAAAACCTTATATTATGATGTTGAGCCATTCCTTTTCTACGTTCTCACAAAGAATGACAAGAAAGGGTGCCACTTAGTTGGATACTTCTCTAAGGTAAAAGTTTGATATTATTATAGGAATTCCTTGTTTGTATTCCAAAACTAAAATAATTGTTGCTTTAGAGGACCGCACCCAAAGAGTGGTGGTCAATGGCGTTTCCTCAGATTGGAGGGAGGTGTCCAGATGGGTGCCTGGGACAGGGCTCGGTTTTCGGCCCGGTACTTTTCAATATTTTTATCAATGATCTGGATGAAGGGGTAGAAGGGCTACTCATTAAATTTGCTGATGATACCAAATTGGGAGGAGTAGCAAACACCCAAGGAGATAGAGTTAAAATTCAGCAAGACCCGAATACTCTGGAGAAGTGGGCAGTTGCAAACAGGATGCAATTCAAGACAGATAAATGCACAGTATTACATCTGGGCCACAAAAATGTCAAGCACAAATACTGGATGGGGGATACGTTTCTGGGGAGTAGTGTATGCGAAAGAGCTCTTGGGGTAAGAGTGGACTGTAAACTAAATATGAGCAGTCAGTATGATGCAGTGGCAAAAAATGCAAATTCAGTCTTGGGTTGTATTAAAAGGGCCACAGCATTGAAATTGCAGGAGGTCCTAGCCCCTCTGTAATCTGCCTTGGTCAGGCCGCACCTGGAGTCCTGTGTGCAGTTCTGGAGGCCTCACTTCAGAAAGGATGTGGACAAAGTCGAGAGGGTGCAGAAGAGAGTGACGAGGATGATCAGGATCTGGAGACTGAGCCCTACGAGGAAAGGCTAAGGGCCTTGGGAATGTCCAGTGTGGAGAAGAGGAGATTGAGGGGGGACATGATTGCCCTCTTTCAATATTTGAAAGGCTGTCATTTGGAGGAAGGCAAGGAGCTGTTCCAGTTGGCAGTAGAGGATAGGACCCGAAGCAACGGGTTTAAATTACATGCAGAAAGGTATCGGCTGGATATTAGGAAAAACACTTTCACTGTCAGAGTGGTTCAAGGGTGGAATCCTCTGCCTAGGGAGGTTGTGAGCTCCCCTTCACTGGCAGCTTTCAAGAAGAGGCTGGACAAATATTTGTCAGAGATGCTTTAGGCTGCTCCTGCATTGGGCAGGGGGTTGGACTAGATGGTCTGTATGGCCCCTTCCAACTCTTTTGATTCTATGATTATCCATTTAGCACACTTTTCTGAAATACGAACAAGTGCAGTATTATTTCTTAAGCACCCAGGGAGATACTGATCGCCACTTTGGGATCAGGAAGCAATTTTCTCCAGGGCAGTTTGACCAGGGTTCCTGGAGGGTGTTTTTTTTTTGGGGGGGGGTCATCTTCTGGGCATGGAGTAGGGGGTCATTGGGAGGGTGGGGGGGATGTAGATGTGAATTTCCTGCATTGTGAAGGGGGTTGGACTAGATGACCCCGGAGGTCCCTTCAAACTATATTATTCTGTGATTGTCAGTTTCCCTTATCATGGGCTGACATTGACCAAGATTAAGTAATCATGGTCTTTCAAAGCATTTGTTGCTGTTTATCATTGGATGGATTTTTAATCTTTTTGGGATTGTTTTTCTTAATAGAAGCGTCACTGCTTAACAAACAAGATGATTAATCAGTTTTAAAAATAAGTGTGTTGCTGCATTTATCATGGCTTTCATGGATGGTGGGCTAAGGTAATAGCCCCGGACTGTGCATACTAACATTCTGAGGTGTTTGAACTGTGCGTGTGTGCTGATGGCTTTGGACCAAGTGGGGCATTTCTAGTGAATTCCCATCCCTTGCTGTAAACTAGAAAATACAGTTCTGCTGCTATTTATTACCACGTATTCTATGAAGAAACTGACATGAACCTCTAGACTTTCTATTTGCTCCAGACTCTAGTTCACCTTTGAATATGTTAACTAGTCATAGGAAGTCAAGACATTCTTGAATTAATGTGAAGAGAAGGTCTTATGAGTTGTGTTTGCCTAAACTAATTTCCCCTCTCTCTGGGCACCTATTTTCTAGGCCTAGCACTTCAAAAGTTTTATTTCTTGTAAAACTGTGTAACTGAATAGCTGGATACACTAAGAGTTTTGGCTTGCTACATATTTATGGAAACTCAGTTTTAAACACAACCCCTGTAAACATACTTTTTAAAAGTAAAATGTTATTGAAAATATGAAGAAAATAATAAGAAGAAATGGTATAATATTAACATCATAATAATAGGCAAAGGCTTTCACCCACCAAAGGAATTAGACTTTAATTCACTGAGGCCAACCTCTGTGGTTGCGTACTTAACTTGAACATCAGGCCATAGACAAAAGCATGTGCAGCAGGAACCTGTGCGGAAAAGATGACTGAACATGTTGAACATCTTGGTGGCTTCCCTGTTCTTTAGCAGCTGTAAGAATTATGAATGACAGAATATTATTGTCGTCTTGGCAAATGGTCAGTGGAGGAGGAGAGAATGTGACAAGGGGATTTTTGAGACAAAATCTCACCTTCCTGGAAATTCTCCTTGTAATGCTGTACTGGAGGACATTTGCTTGTTGGTTTTGGGGTGTGGTCTGCTGAAGTGGGTCACAAGCCCTGGAAAGTGAGCTGCTCTTCTGCTTCAAGGAGTGAATATAGTGCTTAAAAGTGATGCTACTTATGAAAATTATTTTTCAACCTGTCTCTTCCATACTTTCCTAAATTGTCTTGGAATCAAATCCTAGATCTCATGTTGCTGGCTGTACACATCTGCATGTTGTTTTGATATTTTAGAAAAAACATTGCCTTGTCTGTCACTGTGCCAAAGATCTGAGTTTTATGCTTGGACAGCATTGATCAGAGGTGTCAAACATAAGGACCGGGGGCCTTACTTTTTACTTTTTTCCCACCATAGAGAACAATGGAGGGGATAGGGGCAACCTGTTTGGGGGCCCGCAAAATTGGACCCCCTGGTCCAATGCTCTTGAAACATGGTTGGTACCTTGAGGAGAGGCTCCAGCAGCTACCCTGTGAGTTTGGAGCCTCTCCCTCAAGCCCCCTCCCCTCCAGCCCCCAGAATATACCCTATGCTTTTGCTATTGACTTCAATGGCCCATAGGATATAATGGGGCCGAATTGCTGCCGAAATTCGGCGGCAAGCCGATTCAGATCAGAGACTCTGAACCGGCCTGTAGCAGCACGAAAGGGGTCCAAATGGGCCATTTTCAGGGGTGCATTCGGTTCGGGGGTGCACATCCCTACTCTTAACAGTGGATGTCAGTGCTAGTGGCACACCATCCAGAGCTGAGAGTTGACACTCCAAACCTGAATCCCCCCTTCTCAGCCACAGAACCTCTGTCTTAGATGGATTCCGTCTCAGACATGTTGTCTGTTGTGAAGATAATCTAGTGAGTTCTTCCCCAATTCCTCTGCTTCTGAGAAAGTTTTTCCCTTCCGTGAATTTTTTTTGAGAGACAACTCAAAGCAGAATGGGTAAAATCCATGTCAAATCGACAGTTTCCAAATTTTGTTTAAAAATTTCCAATCTTTGCAAACAAGCTTTTGTAGTTCCCCCTGGTGGACGCCCCATAACAATCCTCCGGCTTGCTATTAGAAGATGGCCAAGGCTCCATCGGGGACACACTAGACAAAAGAGCGGAATTTGCTTCAAAGAGAGTGCATGAAGCCATTGCTATGGCGATTAAAGCTTCAGCCACAGCCTCTGTTGTCTCTAGGGCTGCCAAAGTTTGGATCACGAAGATGATCCAGTTACTACCTGAGAACAACTGCAGACTGTTAGAAGGAGCAAACAGAATCCTTAAAGTTAATTCCTTTATTGCGGGCGCAACTCTAGATACATTAACCTTTTCTTCAAAGGCTATGTGCTTGGCAAACGTACCTTCAGTCCAAATCCATACGGACAGCATATCCATTTCAAGGTGATAGGCTGTTCGGAGATCCCTGGGACAAAATTTGGTGTAGTGATTAAGTGCGCAAACTCTAATCTGGGAGAACCAGGTTTGAATCCCCACTCCTCCACATGCAGCTGCTGCATGACCTTGGGCAAGCCATAGTTCTGACAAGAGCTGTCCTTGAAAGGGCAGTTCTTGAAAGAGCTCTCTCAGTCCCACCTACCTCACTGGGTGTCTGTTGTGGAGAGCGGGAAAGGAGTTTGTAAGCTGCTCTGAGACTCCGAGTGAAGGGCGGGATATAAATCCAATCTCTTCTTCTCTTCTTCTGCTTCTTCTGATCAAGACCAGGGATAAGAGAAAGGCAATGCCCAAGACTCTTGTGCGTGCTGACCAAGGATCCTGACATATGCTGCCCAGATGCAGTCAAGAGGCCAAAAGACCAAATAGGGGATCCTCGCAACAATCCTTCTGAAGAGGCCCATTTAACACAGAATTCAATAAACAATCAAACAACAAAAATGCTACAGTATAACGTGATGGTAAACCACAAAAGCATGACTGGCTGCAGATTCGGGTGGGGGAGGTCGTCTCATTCATTTTCAAGAAGCCTCGAAGGCCTCTCAGGTGGACTCGTGGACAAGGCAACTAATATTTCAAGGCTACACCATAGAGTTCACCAAAATCCTACCGGATCGATTCCTAAGATCAAGTCAAGTCAAACAATCCATCACATAACATTCAAGGCCCTTCAACACTTAACCAGAATACAAACCATAGAGCTCGTTCCTCAGTCAGAAAAGGGACAGGGAGTTTACTCCATATTCTTCACTGTCCCAACGAAGAATGGAGATTGGAAAGCAATATTAGACCTCCGGTTTCTCAACAGTACATCAGGTTGAGACAGTCCAACATGGAAACACTCAGATCAATAACCAAAGCCCTGAAGCCAGTGGAATTCCTGACTTCCATAGACCTGACAGAAGCATATCTGCATATTCCAATCTTTCCACCACACAAAAGATTTCTCCATTTCTCTGTGGGGAGACTCCATCTCTATTTGGCCTCTCCATTCCTCCAAAAGTTTTTTCAAAGGTCTTGATCAACCTGGTTGTCCATTTACGGAAACAAGGCATACACATTCATCCTCACTTGAGGGGGAAACTGCTTGGAAGGTTTAGTTTCATTTTTCTTGCTGTCTTAG